CGAAAATTTGCTCAGATTATGTGTTGAGGATTGAGGATGAGATTTCTCAGATTCGGGTAGCAGGTGTTAGAGAATTTGGGAAGAATGGAATGCCCCAAAAATCTGTTCAATTGCCCTTTAAAACGCGGTACCCGCGGCCGCGACAATTTGAAGGCCGCGACTTAATTTGTTCGCCGCGGCCGCGACTTCATCCCGCGGCCGCGGACTTCCGGCTCTGAAGTTGCTGTCACTCTTGCCCAATTTTAGTCGCCGCGGCCGCGGCGAAGAAAAGCTCCGCGGCCGCGACTTGACTCCGAGGCCGCGAACTTATCCCGCGGCCGCGACTTTTTGAGTCTGAAGTCCGATAGCTGGTTTATGTTAATGTTATTTATTGATGTGATTAATTTAAAAATATATAAGTAAATTTAATGTTTGTTAGGAATGTGATAGATCGTGATATTTTAGATACAAATATAGGATATATATGTACAAATATATGATATGAATATCTTGAGATACAAAGATTTTTTTTATGTGATTTATTACCTTAATAAATTAGCCGCAATTACCTAAATGTATGTTAAAACATACCATAAAATGTTTAAATAGTTTTCAGAATTAGTAAACAATATTTTTGTGGCGAGAAATGATTACTATTTAAAAAATAATCAAACTTTTTTATATTATTATATATATATATATAGATATAGATATAGATTTTCGATTTGGAGGAAATATGGAAGATCATAATTATAATTACCACAAAAGAGATATTTTATTTAAATTATAAACTTGTTTTCATTTTTTTATTCTCACGTTTATACTACTAGTGCAGAGCCCGTACGATGCACGGGGTGCACAATTTTAAGGCTATTTAGCGAGACTTATTATTATATACATGAATAACAATTTTAAGGCTATTTAGCGGGACTTATTATTATATACATGAATAAAGAATAAAAAAACTTACTTTAGATCCATAAGAATGAATGCAACCATTTGAGTATCGCCAGTTTTTATTTGTTTTCTCTTGCACACTTAGAATGTCAACAACTAATCTATAAGATCTACAATAAAAAAAAACCAATATTTTATAATTTAATTACTTTGAAATAAAAAAATAAAATTATAAACAACATAAAATAATCTTACCGAATAACATCAATTCATTGATTTTGTTGACATCTTGTATAGTTGCAAAGTCTTTGAATTGAAATCGAAATACAAGAAATTCTTCCTTGCACTTTGTAAACATAGTGCATCATGATCTTAAAATCACCGGATGTCGAACGGTACTTCCTTATATTGTTGTCCACTTGATAATTTTTTATACAAATGATCATGCCCTCCTCAAAATTCCTCTCTCTAAACGCAGCCAAGTTGATTGCTAGTAGCCACGCGGTAATGTGATTTCCCTAAACATATACGAAAAAGCAATCAATGAAAAAGTAAATTGTTTTACAAATATGAAAAATGTATATTATATATACACGAAAATATATGTATGTGTTGCCCCAATCTTGGAAAAACATTCTTAAATTCGAATTTTAAGCATAGGTCTATTAGATCTATTAACTTGTTTGATTAAGTCAAATCCTTGATTCATTGTTATGAATGACACAATGAATGGGGATTTTTTTTTTTTTTTTTCACAAGAGGTTGAAAGTGAGGAACACGCTGATTCAATATTTGGAGATTTATAATTTATAATTGCATTATGCCATTATATGTAGAGATAATGTAAAGGAAATCATATCAGATCATTATATGTAGGAACAAATCAGATCAAATTTATATCTCATTATAATTGCATTATAGCATTATATATAGAGGAACAAATCAAATCATATTTTCCATACAATCAGATAAGTTTTTTTTTGTACAATAGCATTAAAAAAGATTTCCATACAATAAAACACTTCAATTTAGGAGTGAAATCTGATTTAATTTTGGAAGAAGTTTTTTTGCTGACCGATCAAAACTGTTTTTTTATTGGTTTAGTATATATATATATATATATATATATATATTTTGTACCGATCTTATTATGGGAAATAAGTAATAAGTAATTAATAAAAATATTGATGGAAATAGAATGCATTAATTTTTTTTTTACTTTTCTACCTATTAATTTTAGTAAATGAGATGGCTTATTATATAAGTATAGAGTATTCGATCATTTCATCTATTCACTAAAATCCAATCATTTCATCTCACCCGAGTAATATTTTTTCTTGCAGAGTTTATATATACCAAGGGCAGAGAGCAAAAAGACTGCAAAATTCCCAGTTGCTTTCAAGGTAACAAGTCATCTGAGTATGCATTCCAACATAATGTCACGCACAACCCAGCGAGTCACATTTTTAGTTTCTCCACACACTCTATACATACATTTATTGCCTTAGACTTCGAAAATCGTCGTAAAGGTTAATGCAACTTGGTTGGTTTATGCTGACAATCCAACGAGCTTCTCACTCACCTCCCACAGCTTACGTGCCTTGTCCGAGTCGCTGGCCTCCTTGGACAGCTGGTTCTCGAACGAGGATGAGTTGTTATTCCAGCTCCAATAAACGCCCGATTTCGAGAGGCTGGGGTCGGTCACCACCTGGGCGAGCCTCTTCCCGGCCTCCTCCTCCGAGACATATCCTTTGGTGATGTACTTTTGGAAGGGGGGGAAGAGCAGCCTGAATAGCGGTACGTGCTCCCTGAAAAGTCCCGTCTCGGCTATACAGCCCGGGTAGAGGGAGGCGAAGGAGATTCCCGTCTCCTCGTGATAGCGCCTGTGGAGCTCCTGCATCGTCAGCATGTTGCAGACCTTGCTGTCCTTGTACGCCTTTGCCCCGTCGAACTCACCTCCGTCAATCATGGCTGAGCTCCCGACTCCGTTCAGTCCGCCGGAAAGTCCCCTCAGGTCGCCAAGGTTTGCCTTGGGCGGCACATTTCCGGCCAAGGTGTTTGTGTTCCCTGCTCCACACATGTATTTTAGACATGAATTGTGACTCTAGTGTAATTAGCAGATGCATACAGCTTGATCGAGTAATTTCATCTCCAAGTGGATAATCGGATAACTCGGCTTCCTATTTTTAGCAACTTTCTTGATTTCCGATTTGAAAATTCTTTTCTCCAAATCAGATACTTGATCTAAAGCAACACATAATGGTCAAGCTAAATTGCCCAATGGTTTTCCAAATTATATGCAACCTTAAAAGAGCGTGATTTTTATCCCACAACATTAACAGTCAAAAAGGCCCGTACCTGTAATGGATCCAACAATGATGCAGCGGCGTTGTGGGTAATCCGACTGCTTCATCTCGTCCAGCAGCAATCTCGACAGAAGGAAGTGCCCCAAATGATTGGTCCCAACACTAAGCTCGAAGCCATCAGCCGTAAAAGTTGGCTCCTTGGCAGTCGGCAGGTAAACTGCCGCATTGCAGACGAGCACATCCAGAGGCCTTCCCGATCGCCTGAACGTGTCCACAAACTGGCGCACGCTCTCGAGGGACGCCAGGTCGAGGTGCATTACCGTGTAGCCCTCCCTAGGCATACCTGCTGACCTGGCAGCTTTCTCTGCCTTGAGGAAATTCCGGCAAGCCATGATCACGTGCCATTTACCCGTCTCGCTCAGAGCTTTCGCGGTGGCCAGACCTAACCCTGAGGAGGCTCCCGTGATGATAACATTGCCCTTGCGTACCGTTTTTTTGTTTTCGGGTGAGGACTTGGTGATGGAAGGAGTGGCAGCCGCCGTTTGGGCCTTGATTGGTCCCAACGTGCGGTTTTTTCGTAGATTCTGCAAGAAAATGCCATCGTAAGAAACTCCATTCACTAGGCGATAATCGGATACTATACGTTTATACAACGATGCTGAAATGCAATTATCGACACAGATATTCGAGACTTGGGCACTCGCTTTATAGTCGCTCGGAAAGACCTTTATCCTTAGTCATCTACACTGATATTCGAAACCTCGACTTTTCGCAATTTAGAATAATACAGCGAGCCGAACACACCGAAAAGGGAAGTAAAAGTTCTTAAACATATTCCAAACCAAACACATTACTGTAAATTACCTTACTGAAGGAAGAGCAGAATTCAACTCTCAGGCCTGTTGGCAGCGGAGCTCCAAAAATTGGTGTCTCTTTCACCGCCGCTCCTTTGCTCTAACAACATTTTAACATAAAACAGAACAAAAAAACAACAACAACGTAAGAGACGAAAACCACCGGCGAGCTCAAATAAAACCGACAAATCTGTAGCGTACCTCTTTGGCGAGGAAAAGAGTTGTGGGTACTGCCTGAAGGGCCATATATATAATGGAAGTGAAGTAGTGAACAATCAATTAACAAAAGAACAAGACGAGTACAAAACAGCAAATTTCCCTATTTTTTTCTTGTTCCTATTATTTTGTGTACTGAGAATGTATGTGTGTAAGATGGAAATGGGGGAAGAGAAACAAATGAAAGTGTAAGAGATAAGGTGGTCTTGGTATTAAGGATCTATGTATGCCACATCAGCACAACGCTTTCAGTCCAATAAGATTAGGGGTGAGAAAAACCGAGCCGAAACCGAAAAATCGGGCCGAACCGTGCAATTCAGTGCAGTTCGGTTCGTTTTTTTTTAATTTAAAAAATTTTCGGTTCGGTTTGGTTCAGTTCGGTTATGTTTTTCCAACGTTGCGGTGCGGTGCGGTTATAGTTTTTCATAAGTTCGGTTTTCGATTTTGTTCGGTTCTGTGCGGTTTTGCACCGAACCAAAACCGCACCGAACTGGACCAAATTGAATAAATGTATAGAAAAACCGAAAACCAAGCACGGTGCGGTTATTTTAGTGTAAAAAAAATTAGTTCGGTTTCTATTCGTTTTTTTCTTAGATTGCGGTGCGATTCGATTATTCTTTTTGCTAGGTTCGGTTTTTCGGTTGTTACGGTTCGGTGCCGTTTTTCACCAAACCGCACCGTTGTTCACCTCTAGACAAGATTGGATTCTCTCTAATTTTTTCTTTTAAACCAAAAACTAGCCTACATACTTCCACAAGAAAGACGGAGAAGGTTACCCAAGTCACCCTAAATAAACTACCACAAAGCAAAAAAGGGTTGGGAAATGAAGTTACGATAATGACTACGCAAAGAGTCCGTAAACTGAACTCCAACCCCGAACTTTAGCAGCCAAGGACTGAAAAGAACAACAAAAGAAATAAAAGCCACTATACCTGGAGACCTAGGGGTGATTGTTTATACATTCAACTATAAAAAATCATTCAAAACTCAATTATTTTTTTTTTCTTTTTTTTTTTTTGGTACAAAGAAGGAGGCTACAGGCCTAAGCTAGAATTTGTCGGGGGTAAGACACCCCAATGTATCATGGTCCAACCAAGCTCCGAGTCCTGTAGGAATGGACACAACCCGATGTAGGCCAGACGGATATGAGGCCGCCAAGCTCGCCATATAGTCAGCAGCAAAATTTGTTTCTCGATGGACATGTTGAACTCGAACCTCCCAGTTCCGTTGAAGTAAAGCACGAATTGCCTTAACCAGCCCTTCATGAGCCCCAAAGCAGCCATTCGACTGAGATATCATCTTGAGAACACATTGGCTAATGATTTCAGCAATAACCATTCGAAAGCCTAAATCCCACGCCAACAGAAGCCCTTGGAAGAGGCCCCAGAGATCGGCTCCTGTAATAGAACACATCCCAATATTCAATAAAAAGCCCCCGAGCCACCGACCCAAGTCGTCTCGGGCCATACCACCCGCACTACTCAACCCCGACCGGTTATCAAAAGCACCATCAGTGTTCACCTTAATCCACTTTGAGCCCGGGGGAGACCACCGAATCATGCGTGTAATGTAGGATGAAACCCCGACCTTCCTATAATCCGCTACTACTTTCTTATAATTTCTCCGTTATGTTAAGAATTTCCATGTGCCGGGCTGTACAACTCACAGAATTGTGCTGAAAAATTCGCTCATTGCGGCCCATCCATAATCTCCAAATCGTGACCGCGAAGAAGCTGTCCCATCCTTCAACGCCTCTCATACAACGTCTCACAAGATTTGTACGCATCCAAACTTGCAGGGGCTGCTGATAAAATTCGCTGTCAGTCGCGGTAGGTATTAGCAGGTTCCATACGGCTTTGGCAGCAGGGCAATCTCGCAACACGTGAACTAGCGACTCGCTACCATCACACATGGCGCATGCATCAGATTCTGTAAGATGGCGCCTTACACGTTCAACGTTCGTAAGAAGACGCTCATTCACAGCGAGCCACATAAATGTACGCGCCTTTTGCGGCGCCGGGGCCCCTACATATTAACCGCCACAATGGCCGGTCGTTATTTTGTGTTGTCGGCGACATAGCTTGGTACGCTGAGCTCGTAGAAAACCGGCCATCGTCTGAAAAACCCCCACGTAATTCTGTCATTCAAAACTCAAATTTAACTCAACTTTAACTCAACCCCACTATCGTCAATATTATCAACATAATTAAATAATATCAGCCAAACATTCTTACACATCACATCAACTTTAATTCACTATTTATTCACTCACATAATTTAAACTAACCATCACTTTCTGTCATTTTTCTCATACTTTACATCAAATCAACATTAATTATTTAATTTAATTATTATTTTAATATATCCATTAATAACTAACCATACCACCTTTTTTTAAAATTAACTATAGTTAAAAAACAAACTAGATAAAAACTAGTTGAATCCATAAACAATCACCCCTACTAGTTAAACCAAGCCAAAAAACTGAGAAAAGGAGAATCGAACTAAAAAAATAAAGAAAGAAACAAAAAAAAGTGCAAAATTAAATTGCAATAAAAAATTTCTAGCATAAAACTCAAGCCAATCTTTATCAGCTAACTCAACCTCTGATTTTTCTGAGCGCCAAGAGTATTGAAAATACCACAAGTTTCTTACTTTCCAGATTTTCCAGAGCAAAAAGAAGTAAGTTGAAACATGTCTGATGAACTGGAATAACTACTTATGCTGCAAAGTTTTTTCCACCAACTCTTGCAGTTACCAGTGCTCTATGCAAGACGAGCGACACGAGTCGATGCTAGCAGGCAAGTGCATGCGTAAGAAGGCATGCTCATAGAAGGGCAAGAGCACGCGCAAGGCAGCACGACAGCGCGAGCACACATGCAAGGTGGCTTAATACCGAGGGCGCAGACACGTACGAATGCGGCCAAAGAACTTCGCACAATGCCGGCAAGGACTGGGAGAGACTCGGGGCAGAAGACGAGAGTCTCTCGTTAGTGAGTGGGCACGCGAGAGGGGAGCTCGGGGAGCGCAAAGGCACGCGCACGTAAATGGCGCACGAGGCATGGGCGCGCGAGCCGCACGGGCGTGGCGACTAAGAGCATTGGGACAAGCACGCACGCACGCTAGAGGCTGGGGTTCTCGCGCAAAAGAATGGGCGCTGACCCGAGGATCTCGCGCAAGGGTGAGGCCAACGCGGGTGGGTCTGGGCTGAAGAGCTTGCATAGGCCTGACAAGCAAGGGCTTGGTGAGCATGGGCCTAACTAGTATAGGCGCTGGCAGTAGGTTGAGGACACCAGGAAGGGGCGTGCGCAGGGGTGATGCACAAACACACTAGGCATGTGATTTCAGAAGGCTACCGAGGCCGTGTGTCTCGTAGCGAGCGTAATCAACCAAACGACATGCATTAGCACGTACCCTCAACGCATATCGTCGTCCGCACATGTGTCGCATTTTCATACAATCGTTGGAGCTGAGCGACCAAGTGCGTGCCCGTGCACCGAGTCCGACAGACTTGCGCCCCTGCGCTCTGTTCAACGCCCGTGCATCCGTCTAACCTACCATCAACGCGTCGTTCTGTTAGCCGTGGTCCGAGCGCGCCCCTGCGTCGGTAACCGCGACACCGTTTAAAAACCCATGCATTGGCAAAGCCGTGTCAGCCATGTTCGGTCCTGGTTTGCCCCGCTGAACCCAGACCACGATTAAGTCGATCTGCACATAGTCAAACGAGTAACTGGTTGGTTCCGAGTGAGCCGCCGGTCCAGTTCAATCGAACCAGTTCGGGCAGACCAAATGGTTTGAAGAACCCCAATTCAACCAAAGTAGTCCGGGCAATCCATAAGGTTCGGCAGTTTCAGTTTGGAACATCAGTTTGAGCGTTAACCGAGACTTCAGTGTTTTTTTCCGAACCCAGGCATATTAAAATCCAGTCAGAGTATAGTCCAGACTTAGAAATATTTCGGAGAACTCTAGTATTCCTCAAAGACAATATATTTTCAATATTAGCTCGTAAATTCCTAAAATGAGTTTTAAATGATTTATAAACCGAGTGAGCGAACGTAGACATATCAGATTTAAGATTCGAGCTTTTCATATTGAGCATAGTACTTAGAATATTTTGCTCAAATATTTTGTAGCTTGAGGAGAGTCGAGCCTTCACTTGCTACACATCCATATCCCAGCATTTGCATTCGCCAGCATATAGGTTGAGACCTTGTACTGTGTATCTCATTGTTTTTAATTGCTTATATTGTACTCCCTCCTATTCATAATAAGTGTCATTTTGAGAAGTTGCACAATTATTAAATTTTTTTTTTACCAATAATAACCCTCATTAATGAGGATAAAGATGAATGTTTTGAGAAAAGATGAACAGTGAATATGAAAAGACATAGTCTATTTATTACCTAGATGAGGGTAATAATGGAAAAATATGTACAAAATATCCAAAATTACATTTATTTTCTTAAATAGTTGATAAT